TTTTTTGTTTTTGTTTTGGCTGATTAAGCGAAGTCTTCCTCTCGTTGTTTATTTTAAACGATCTTTATTTTTTTGCAGTGGAAAACCTTGAAATTTCATTTTTGCGGCTGGGATAACGTCAGATTGATGTATCATTCTTTCATTTATTTTCTTGTACTGAAATCATCGCTATTAATGATTGCTTTTTAATGTGAAGCTACTTTCTTGGCGACTGTTTTGAAGTTTTACGTTTAATTCGGTATCTTTTTTTCAAAACGTGTTCAAAACGTTCTGTTCGTTTTTATATATTTCTTTTGATTATATTCATTTTTTTTATTGTTGGAATATTTTTGATTATCTCCAAATATTTTATTACATTCAATTTTTTTAATATTTTGTTGATAAGTTTATACTTTGAAGAGCCCCCCTTTGTATTAAGCAGTGAGATATTCAAATAAGAACATCACGGAACTAACGTATGAGATACACTTGACAGAAATCTTATTAGTTGACTGTAAAAATTTGAGTGGGAGCCTAAAATAATGCTACCGATAATAACGCTACTGATAATAACTTATCTTTAAGTAACTTGATCACTATTAGCTCCTGCACTGATCGGAAAAGCGAAGTGGATAAACATTTGTGGTTAAGATAAAGAAAAAAGAAAGACAGAAAATATAGACTTCTTATCTTTAGAAAGTGATAAGAAATGTGTCCTATTGGTTATTGTGTCTGGTGAACAAAGTATTCTAGCTCAGCATCCTTTTTTAATTTTAGTAAGAGTAAATTGTGGTATTTGAAAATGCTGTTTAAGTGTAATTGGGAAAAGGAATTGTTAAATCCTGTTTCTATTCTATTTAGCTCCAATTAAAAATTGTTCCAAAATAAATATTTTTCTCTAAATTTAGCTAAAACTGCTGCAACATGCAACAACTTCATTTTTTTTTCTTCGAAATTGTATTAGATTTGTTTAAAAAAGTTTTAGTAGTTAAATTGAAAAAATTGGTAGTTTTAATCAATTTTTTACTTTTGATATCGCAGTCCGACAAAACAAGGACACAAATCAATACATATTTATTTCTAATACGATTTCTAACTAATGAAAGTGAAATTGTGCAATGCGCAAAAAGAAAAAAAAAAGCTACCCTGAATAACTTTAGATTTAATGATCGGATCTTTATGTTCAAGGACTCAATCTTAATGGTTTGAGAGGGTGACCTCAAATATACTAATCAATTAGTACAGACGATATTTTAAGTTATGAAATCAGACGCAAAAATATACTTTCTTTGAATAAACATACCTTTTATTCAACTGATTCGGATTTCCGACCCTCAAAATATCAGGGGGAGCTGCAATCTGACAATTATGGTCCCCATTGTTTGGTCAGGAGAGCAATTTAAAGTTTGGGCCTCTTAATGTTAATTTTGTTTTTGCATATTTTACCATATCTCAAGATATTTTTGACTGAATTGAAATTTTTTTTAAACACAATTATAAAATTCGTTTTTCCAAAGATAATTCCATGTAAAAAATAAATTTTAGTAAATGTATTTTTTCTTTTATTAAACAATAGTCGTAAAATTTTTGAATTGTAAGTTATAAAATTTTGTATGTCATTTTAAATTATGTAATTTTACATGGCAAAATACAAAATTTAGATGAAATCGGATTCGAATTCTTGCGAAAGTTTTAAATATACGACTTTAAGATTCCCAGGGTTTGGTTGGCCTGATTTTTCTTGATAAATATATTTTGTCCTTATTTGTCCCGATTTTTAGCTTTTTGTTATGATATTCTTGATTTTCGTGCGCATTCAAAACATCCAATTTTCATTCAATAAATGCGCATATTAAAATAATAGATTTGAAAAATCGAAATCAAAAGATGTCGATTTTCCACTGAACATCTTTTCATTCGAATTAATAATGCTGGTAAAAATCGCTTAATTGGATTGTTTGAACTTAGGGACCGTCCCCTAAGAATATGTATGCTTTAAATTATGTTGATTAAAAAATTATTTTAATTAAATTATGCTTTAAATTATGCACAACAATGTTTCACTTGCTTTGTAAGTGGCCCTTCCAAGTAGATTAACGAAGGGCAGGGCTGTGTGCATATTTAATCAGGTTAGCAGCAAATAGGATAATTTTTATACAAACATTAGTTTTCTAAGCACTAATTTTTTTTTAATCAGTAAACTTAATAAGATATTTGCAGAAAATAAATACTTTTATTTATTCGAATTTATTTAAAAATAAAGAAACTGATGTTTTTTATTAAAAAAAACTATTGAAGAAAATTTAATGTTTAAACAAAAATTAAAACAAATCCATTATATACAAAATAAAATTCAATACTTATTTAGTATTATTTTTCATTTATTTCTATTTCTTGAATTATTAGAGGTTTTAAGAATTAAAAAAATATTTTCTTTTTAATTTTTTCCTGAAAAAATCACTTAAGATAAAAAAAAATTGAAGCAAAATAAATTACAAACAGTAAGCAGCTTTATATATATACTCTCATTTTCCTAAGTTTTTGAATTTGAATTTTTCACGAGGCAATAACATTATATTAAAGTATCGGGATTCTAAATATCACATACAAATGCATGGTGCCAACTACCGAATCAACAAAAAAAAACATTACGTTAAATTATGCACAAATAAATTGTATCAAATAGTGATTATTTAAATTTGCGATTAGAAATTCGCTTGTCATATTAACATCGTAGTTATAGTAACGGGATTGTAAAAATCACAGAGAAAAGCATCAAGCATTCAATAAAAAAAAAAAAAAATGAATATATGATGAAATTAGCACAAGTAAAGTGAGCCAAAGTCATTATTGAAATGCGAGATTTCAAATTCGCATTTCGAAATTGAAATCAGAATTTTTTAAAATATGTGAGAATACATCGCAGAAACTGCCGAAAAATGATCAGAAAAAAACTTAGATTTACAATGATATTGGCACAAATTAAGTACGGCAAAAAGTGATCCATTAAATGTGCGATTTATAACTCACGATTCGTAATAACGTAATAAATGTATCGGGAAAACACGTGGAAATTAGTAGTTATAAATTCTATTCGATCTAAACGTCACTTGGATTTATGATGAAATTGGAAATACAGTGCATGTCAAATTATTATTTAAATGGGTGATTTGAAATTTGTGTGCCCACGGGCAGTAGGTTGTGCACCCCTACTTTAAACTCACCACATTATTCAGTTTTTCACACTTTTGGAAATTGTCATTTTATGAGAGGAAACTCAATTTACAATTCTACATTATCAAGCCTTTGTTGTGTCGATCTGGAGGCAGGTCATTAACTTATTTATTATTTTCAGCAAAATTAAGGATTCTTGTTGGGGGAATTCTTTAACTCAAAACCATTGATTCGTCTCTTTCATCTGATTTAAATAATCTATTAATAAAAATAACCTATTTCAATCAACAATACAGTATTTATATTATCGACGTATTAAAGTGTGGTATCATCTGCTAAATTAATTTTGTGCAAAAATTTTAAGCATCGTATTCACTGTTTATTTAAGATTATTGATTCCCGTACTTAAAAATGATTTAATTGATGAAGTCTTTATTTTTCTCCTTATAAATTTGAATTAAAAATTGGTATGAGGGATTCCGATTTATTGATCTCAAAGTATTGAGAGTTGTTCAGTGTTCTATTTAATCAAATTATGTTGTGAAATATTATAAAAACTATTTTTATTGTTTGTTTACAATAAAATTTGATTTTATTATACTTACTTAGAGCAAATTATACTTTTTTTTAGTTTTTTGTTTGCCCTAATTACAAGGAGCTAATGCATAATATTTCAAAAAGTGCTCTAATTTTTGTTCTGATTTTTTTGAAAAATGTCTTGATTTTTCTTTGGTCAACCATATATGAGGCCTACTCTTAAGCAACCCCAAGGGGGAAGGGAGTAATAGTTTGGTATCATTGAATGTATCTTTTGAAAATACTCTGCTTGTATGTTTTTAGGTTTTTGATCTGATGTGTATTTTTAGAGAGATTCAAGTTTTCTTTTTGGACACCTTGAATCATATAATAATAATAATAAATGATAAATCATAGAAGTTATCAAGATTTGGATGTTTTCTGACTTTTGAATTTTGATTTTCTTCCAAATAGTCATTATTATTTTCTCCCCATTGTAATAGTACCTAATGCAAATAGTTTCGACATGTTGAAAAAAAGGACTTGAACTTATTTTTGCTGTATTAGTTATGCCTGTGTTTATTTCAATTGCATTTTTCTTTATTAGCACTATATCCTACTGCAAGCAAAATGTTTCTCAATTTTCTTTCTCTAAATGGAGTGGTACTTAGCATTTAATGAATAATTTTTATTTTTCTCTTGTTCTATTATCTATACTGTACAAAGGGGAAAAAAATACTTATTAAATTTTTTATTTAATAAGATTTTAATCCATAATGTTTCAAAAGGTAAATTTTAAAAATCTTAACTATATTAGATGTTTAAAAAAAGTAATGTATTCTCCCACCATAAATATTTGTTATTTTTGTTCTAAAACAAAAATTTATGCCATATTTCTCAATTTTTTTTAATTTTGATATGATGAGCTGGTTAGTAGGCAAGTGAGTTATTTAAAATATCTTACCAGGAGAGGGTCACAAATATCAAAATGCCCTTTGGAAATGCTTAAAATAATCATAAAACTGTGAAAAATGACTAGATTTTTTTAAAATTTCTGAAACTAGGGACAGAACATTTTTGCCTCCTAAATAAAGCCTTAGCTGACCTTTGGATCTAAGTAGAGTTTTAGTATGGCTAAATAAGTGTGGAGACCTCTAGATTAGAATATATTGATTACGAGGCTGTATATTTTATTCTCAAATGCTTTTATGAATATTTATTATTGTATTAGGCATTGTTAACAAGCTTTTGATACGTAAAATTTTTTTAAGCATTTAATTCAAAAAAATATTTATTCTGACTATTTATTTCAATCTGTTTCTCTTTTATAGAACCATGTCTGGTGCAAATGAAGTTAAAGTTAATGGAGTGGTGGAGGAGAATGGTCCTGTTCCAACATATGATCCAGATGATCCTGAATGTCAAAAACAAATGTGGAGACCTGCAGACATAAATCAAGATATGAAGGAGATGGAAAGGAGAAAACGAGTGGATATCATCATGAATAGGTTACTTTTGATTATATATGCCAGTAGTCACTAAAGAATGTGGAAATATAATTATATTTTTAAAATATATTTTTTATAAGATGTGAGTCTCCCATATTACAGATTATCAGTTACAGTTAATCAGTTACAGTATTTTAAAATTATGCAGTGTTCTTTTTAAGTATCTTTCTTAATCTGTCTTTGGAATCAATATTTTATCGATAATGAATTCTCTTTTATTCATTGTTGGGAAACCCAGTGAGATATAAACCTCATGTGGTACAATCCCACTATTTAACATTAAGAAAAAAGGACAAATTAAGTTAGATATTAGAAAATTAAAACTGTTTTTGAATTGTTAAATTTATTGGGTTACTCTGTATCAAGTATTGTTATTTCCAAGTTTGAAAAAATGTATTGCACATGTACTTAGACTTGCCAAATTAAGTTCTGAAAAGTTTCAGATAAAGAATTTATAAATATGAAATAAAAGAAATTATGAAAAATAAAAAAAATGAAAATTGTGAAAAATATGACAACCAAAGCTGATGTCTTCAGGAGGTACCAGCTCCGGAAGCCATAAATACAAAACCTTTTCTATCGAGAGAGCACTGCAAATGTCTAAATTGCTCTCTTTGTACCCCAAAGGTTTTACCAAAGTCCAGGAAGAGAAATTACATTACGAAATATAAAATACATTAAGCAAATACAAAAATATAAAATCAAAACTAATACTTAAGAATAAAACGCTCGTATTTGAACGTATTTGAAAACTTTCACAAAATACTTTCTCTTAAAACTTTATTTTTGTATCCCGTAGGAAACAATAAATTCATAGTTTTGTATTGATTTTTTAATAAAATTTTTAATTTTTCACGTTATGTCTACATTTTCACAAAATAGGTACCTCTCAGAAAAACCTAAACAGATCCCTGAAAACATATCCTATAACCAAATTATAATACTGACTACCAAGCAACTACCGTATTTTTCATTTTTTGTTTGTTTGTTTCAATTCCTTTGGGAATTTCAGCTGCATATCGCGTTTTTCCACCGGAAGTATAGTTTTTAATTGCTTTAATTATTTTGAATTCTTTTCTAATTAAATATGAAATATTTATTTAGCTCAGAAAAGACTTGAATTTGTAATTAGTTTCTGTAAAAGAATATGTTCCTGAAAAGTTATGACATAAAAATTAACACTTGGCAAATCCAAAGCTGTTTAGAATATGAAAATTGATCTAAGTACAACACAGATATAAAGTTCTTAGAAAAAGAAAAATACACATTTTGATACAGATTATAGTAATTTCCAAAATATTTTGTCAAATCTAATAACTTTCCTTGTTTTTGATATACTACCTAGTCTCTGTAAAATCCTGATGAAGCATTTACTTGTCACTAAGTTATGCTATGCCAAGAATTGGAGCAGGTAGAAAAATGTTGATTTTGGTTGAAATTAGTAAATCCATTTGTATTTAAAGAAAAAATAATCAGGTTAAACACTGTAGCAATTAGAATAAACTTCTTATTTTCTTGAAACAGCAGTAAGGAGCTTTCATTTGTTAATAATGACTATTTTATCAAATAAAATATCAAAACACAAATTTAGAATCGTGGAAAAGAATAGGCAACTGAGAGGAAAAGGACTCCTAATAATGAACACCTTCTCTTTTAAATTATAAAGTATAGTGGTTTTTAGACGCTATAAGCATTTTCTCAAGATGAGTAAGCTGATTTGGCTAGTAATAGTTATTGATTATTGCTTAGGTACTTTTTTTCACAGTTTCTCTGCCTCTTATGAATTTGGAATTCAAATTAAGCTGACAGTAAAAATATAAAGACAAACTATTTTGGTAAATCATTTAGGAATTCTCTCCCTGATTGCTATCGCTTGCCAAAATCTGGAACAGCTTGCACAGTTTTTTTCCAGATTGCTTTGCCTTTTAAACCCGCTTAATTGGCTCTTTACATAAAAAATAATAAACACTAATTTTACAGTTTGTATAAACTAAGGAAATTATTATAATTGGCTCTTTACATAAAAAATAATAAACTAGTTTTACAGTTTGTATAAACTAAGGAAATTATTATAAAATAATGTATAAATAATGAAAGTATTGTTAAATCTAGACGAGCATAGAACATATATTTTATCGTTAACAAAAAAAGATAATTTGATTCCAAAAAAGCAATTTGAAATAACTTTATTTAAAAAAAAAAATGAATTTAAGTGCCTTTTAGCATTTATTTATTTTTTTAAATATTAATATAATTATAATAAAATTTTTTAAAATAACTTAAATATAATATAATTTTTTAAAATAGCTTCTGTAGCAGGAGTTATTTGCACTTATAAAAACACGGAATTATTTGTCTCTGTTGCTGAATGGAAGTGAAGTCTGCAACAGAAGTTATATTAATTTTTTTTTAAATGGATACACATTCCTAGCATCCTTGCAAGGGAAATGTATTTTTTTTGAATAAATATATATTGATTTAATTAATTCAGAATTGATAGAGTTGTAGTTATTCCTCATATTTAGATGTCTTATGATTGTTAGTTATTTAATGAAGAAATAATCTGGAGTGTAAGTTTATTTTTAGTTAAATGCCTATTTCAACAACCTATCAAGAAATGTATTCCTCAAGATAAACACAAGTTTCATAACCCTGATTTGCACTAGTGGTATTTCTTTTATGTTTTCTCATTCTTTTTATTTTTTTCATCAGAATTAGTTTAATTTTTGTTTTTGTTTTTTCCTTTGAGGTTGAAGTCATGTTCTCAAAATTTTTTACTTTGCTTTTGTCTTCTGAAAAATATCTTGTTCAAATTAACTTCTATTCTGTCCAATTCTACTTCAATATCAATTCTAATTACAACTAATTTATTTAAAAAGTCTGAACACAGTTTATGGTGAAAATATCTTAATTCTATATCAAGAAAGTGAGCTTTTCTTTTTACTTCATGGTACACTTAAGAATCTCCGCCTTAGATGTAATTAAATATATGTTATACGAAGACTTAAGTTAATATCTAACACATGTTATGCTACTAGGTTAATTAACTGCTAATGAACTGTTTTCCTGTTATTAGATTTATAGAAGCTGATAAAAATCTAATTTGTTTTTTTCCTTTAGATTTTATTATTTCTAATTAAATTGTTATTCCATATTATATAATTCTATGCATTGAAAATTTTTTTTCTTCTTCTTCTTACTTCTAATTTTTTGTTTTACAGTCAAGTTTTCCGTGAGGAATTAGAGAGGATTATAGAATCCCAGATTAATGAAGGATACCTTCCCGCCAATTTAGCTGCATTGCAACAGGTGACAGACTTGTTATTACCTAATCGTCAGTCATCTGGGCTTCGATCTGGACATTGTGTAATTCCTATTAATGATATTAGAGGTGTAGATGGTATTCGTTATACTAAGATTGAAAAACTGCTTAGATGCAAATTAGCTGCTCTGTACAGATTAATTCATTTATATGGCTGGTCGCAATCGATATATAATCATATTACGGTAAGTAATACTAAGCTTCTTTTGTTTCTTGTGCTAATGTTTAAAAATTATGACCAGGGGTCCTAGACGTTTTGTGAAAGGTCCTGTTTTTGTAAAATTGTGAAAAAACTACTCAATTTGTAAATATAAAATAAGCGTCAAGTCACATTCTTTCAACCAGGGTCCTGCCTTTGTGAATTTGTGCAAATAGGGTCCTGTCATAGCAAAAATTGCTAAAAACCTTTTCGAGAAGTTTTTAAATTGTAAATGGAGAAGATTCTGCTCAACAATTGCTGCTACTAAATTAGAGATGCAACATACAAATATTTGGTATTTAGCCATTACTGCTCAACACAGAATATTCATTTCGGACGAATAAGGGAAACAAAATCACTCACATTTTTAATAATTTCAATTGACATATTTTAAATAACACAACTTAGTTATGTATCACTTTTAATGTGTTACACATTAAGTAAATTTAAACAATTCTTAAATTTATAATATTTTACTTAGAAAATTGCCTAAAATTAATTTTTATTTACATGATATTCTATTAATTCTATGAATAAATATAAATTGGTCAATTTATTTTCAAAAAAAAAAAATATCACTTAATGTCAGGGTTTGTTGATTTAAATCACGATTTAAATCATAATTTAAATCAAAAGATTTTTTTAAAAAAATCATCGATTTAAATCCACTGATTTTTTAATATATATTGATTTTAAAAGTTAAAAAACAGTGTTTTAACTTATTGATACTTTTCTTTTCTTAGTTATAAAATTTATTTTAAATAAATTGCTGCATTAATTAATTTTAGTAAATGAAATTACTTTCGTTCTTGGTGTGTGTTAAATTCCAACAACTGTGAAATTGCAAATAAAATGTTAGTTAAAATTCTACTGTTTGATTGAAAAAGCATAGACTTAAAATCTACATTATATTTTATTGGTGGTAAATGTATATTTCTAAAGCTTGAGGTTATATTGAAAAGAAATTACCCTAATATGCCAAAAATAGAAAGAAAGAAAAAGGGTGATGAATTCAGATTATTTTCCTGATATAGTGAATTTCTTCCCTTTCAAAGTTTATTTGAAGCAGTAGAGTTATTAACTGATATTTTTTTCTCATATGTTTGCAGTATCTTTGACATTATCAGACTTTCCATTAAGAAATTTTGTGGAAAAAAAAATCCAATAAGTACATAGATTTTTTAAAAACATTTTTGGACTTAACTTATCTATTTTGATATAGGATTAAAAATGAATATTTTAATGTAAAAATATATGATTTAAATATTTTTATTGTCATTAAAAATCAAGAGAATAAAAAATCTCAATTTTAAATTAAAATTATGGTTCGCTAATTGAAACTTTGTTTTAATAGTTAAAGAACAGGGGTCTGTCCAAGCCAAATTTACTACAGTTAAGCGGTTGATTCACAAATTCAATTTTAATAAAAACGGTGGTTTCACAAAATACTTTTTCTTAAAATTTTATTTTTTTGTCTCATAAGAAACGATAAATCCATATTTTTGTGTTGATTTTTTAATATAATTTTTAATTTTCACGAGTTATGTCTAATTTTTCACAAAGTAAGTATCTCGCCGAAAAACCTAGACAGACCCCTGAAGTTTTCTTTAAATTCTCTATTTGATCTAGTCTCTAAATTTCAATCATGTAATTATTTCAAAATGGTTGCTATGCATTCAAAGCTATGTATTATAATAAAAAATTAGTAAGTTAGAAAGCTTCTAAAATATTGTTATAATACAGTTTTAATATTAATTTTGATTACACACTTATAAAGTTTTTCTAATCATAAATCATCATTTAATCATGAATCATAAAGTTCTTACAATGTATTTGAATAAAAATAAAAAAAATCTGATTTAAATAAAAAAAAAATCAGATTTAAATCACGAACCCTGCTTAATATTAATAAGAATGTGTACACAATGTTTGTAAAAGTAGAAATATTTCCTTAGAATACTACATTTGGAATTTAAACTTAGGGAAACTTGGAAAGCATAGTTAGAACGGTCTTTCTTTTTTTCACCCCCTTCCCCAAAAAGGGTTTATTCGATTAACGAAACAATAATGAAGATAAACATATTTGCGAAGGGTCCAATTAAAAGATAAATTATTTTGTGAAGGATCTGTTTTTATAAAAAGATATTTCGTGAAGGGTTTATTAACGGACCCAAATTTCTTCTACACTTGCATATAACCCTGATGACCTGCATATAAAATTTGAATATAAACATTCTGCTCTTTGCTGGAATTCAATCTGTGAGTTTTAAGTGATCAGATATATCTATTTTACAGCATCAGTAATTGCATACAGAGAGCTGCTGTCTTGAAATGCTTATTTTTCAAGCTTGGTTCCTCACTTTTTCTAGTTTTCTGGTTTCTTAAAATATTTTATGTGTGGCATCATTTATTTCTAGTAGAGATTGAAAAATTTCTGAATTAAAAGATATTAAACTATTTATATCACTTTAAACTGTTTTCAATTAAAAACCCCAAATTTCCTAAAATCAGTTAGAGCTGCAAAAAACAAAAAAAAACAAATATATATATATATTTANATATATATATATATATATATATATATATATATATATATATATATATATATATATATATATATATATATATATATATATATATATATATATATATATATATATATATATATATATATATATATATATATATATATATATATATATATATATATATATATATATATATATATATATATATATATATATATATATATATATATATATATATATATATATATATATATATATATATATATATATATATATATATATATATATATATATATATATATATATATATATATATATATATATATATATATATATATATATATATATATATATATATATATATATATATATATATATATATATATATATATATATATATATATATATATATATATATATATATATATATATATATATATATATATATATATATATATATATATATATATATATATATATATATATATATATATATATATATATATATATATATATAGATATATATATATATATATATATATATATATATATATATATATGACTGATTCTGATTAAATTATGTATTTTTGTAGACTTTTATACTAATTGAATGTTTATTACTTTCCTTTGTATGTTATACAGTCAGAAATTATTTTCTTCATTTTAAGGTACGGGTTAGTCAAGATCTTGAACACTTTTTATTGAATCCTTTTGGACTTCAATATCCTGAAGTTACAGCATCGTCTCTACTTAAAGTTGATATGCAAGGAAATGTTATTGATCCTGGTTCTACTGCATTTTCTTTTAATCGAGCTGGGTATGTATTACATTCTGCTGTGCATTCCGCCAGGCCAGATGTCCGATGTGTGATTCATGTTCATGTTCCATGCGTCATTGCTGTAAGTATAAAATTTTCACTACAGTAATCTGAATACAAAAGTTAGCTATTATTGATATATTCACTTTATCTCAATATTCATTATGGTGCTGGAATTTGTTTTGTATTAACTCTTATATGCATAAACAGCATTGGTTTAGTGTAGTGATTTTTAACTCTATTGCATTTCATTATTCATTACTTGCGATTATTTCTAATTTTTTAAAATTTTCTTTTAACAAATAATTTAATTTTTACATTTTGAAGTGAAATTTCTTTGCTAGTCGAGAATTAATTTCTTAACTCTTCAAGATGCTATATGAGTGAACATATTTTTTTTGTAAATTGTTTTTGTACAGTTAAATTTGTTATTATTAAGATTGGTGGCATTTTCTAACTTTCAAAAAAAAAAAGTTAATGTCTAAGTGCTTATTGAACAGGTTCTTATACCTTTCATCTTATTTTCTTTTTATTGCTAATGTTTATTCTAATAGTTATAAAGGAAACTCAAGTATAACTATTTGAATAGGTTTCAATGTTTAAATAATCTCTAAAAACTGAAGTGGTAATATATATTTATCAATGGGAAAGCTTATTTGCTTCGAAAGAAAATTGTGAGATATAAATTTTTTATTTTAGAATCAAATTCTAAAGTGTTTGAGGGTATGTTAAGTTCTTCCAAAGACAATGTTTCAAAGTAGTTATTTCATTTCATAAATTTTTAAGTGTTACACATTTGAAAGAACTATTTATGTTAAATAAATAATTCCTTGAAACTGAAGTGAAAAGATGTACTTGTTAATGTAAAATTTAAATTATAAAAGAGGAGAAATAAGACATGTTTATGCACTGAAATAGGTGCCCATTTTGGAGACTCACCTGACATGAATGAAAAAAATTAAAACAGATTAAAAAGGAAAACACAAAGTTAAAAATTAGAAATAAAAAAATTAGGAAAAACAAAACTAGAAACTTCGGTCACATCTGGTAAATTTTGAAAATGGACACCTATTTTTGTGAGCTCGAAGCATCAACTTTTCCCACCTTTTTAACTTTTGAAGCATCCGCAGTTTACATTAACAAACTACTTGCATTGTTTTTCGTTTTCTTTTTATTCAAAAATTCTTTTAAGATATCTAACCTCAAAATGCAATTTTAACCTTTCGCGCATTAACTCCAGAGTTCAAGGTACAATTTGTTTGCATATTTGCACATAAAACCAGTTTCCTCCAATGTTATAAAAGTAGAAAATTATTTAAATATTTAGGATTAAAAAAGGTTTTTGTTTTTGAATTATTAAAATAAGTTTGATCCACATTACTAGTTATTGCTTCATAAAACATAGTCTCCATTTAAATATATTCTGAAAAATATACATTTCCAACACATAAGTCATGCCAAATTTTCTCCATAAACCAAATTAAAACTTAGTATATTTGTAATCAGTTTTATTTTAATTACTGTTATCCTAGCATGCTAAGTATTAACATACATGATAAACATTTTTTTATTTTTGTTTCAGGTTTCATCCATGAAAACTGGTCTCCTTGCAGTTTCTCAGGAAGCTGCTTTAATTGGTGATGTTAGCTATCATGATTATAATGGTATACTTGTTGATGCAGAAGAACGAGAGTCTATTGCACGTGATCTTGGACCAGTAAACAAAGTTATGATTCTCCGGAATCACGGCTGCTGCGTAATGGGAGAAAGCATAGAAGAAGCTCTATTTTATCTTCAAAATCTTATTTTGGCCTGTGAAGCCCAGGTAAATAGTTCTTTGCTTTGGTAGTTGGTTGTTAAACACAGGAAAAAATTTCAAGTTGTGTGTTTGACAAAAAAGTTGCCAAACTCAAAGAAGTTGCCAATTGATATAAAAATTAAATTATCAAACTCTTAGTGTTAACATTAAGAACAGTCTCATCAGCCATATAGTTTTGGAGAGCATTTTTTTGTATACATAAAAAAAGTTTTAGCTATAATGTTAAAACACTTTTCCCTTAACTTTTTTCTTTTAAAAAGATTTATGTAGGATATTCCTAGTTATAATTTTCTTTTCTGAGGTTTACACTTATTTCTTTAAAAAAAATTCATTCTTTTATTAAAAAAAATTTTAAAACTGTGTCAACTTTTTCTTTTTTAAGTGATTGTTTTTGGCTGCTACCAAAACATTCATGGCAAGATGCCTTGACGTTAGCAGGTGGAGCAACGTTTATTTGTCGACATACTCAAAAGCATTGATTGACTGACTTTATTTGTTAAAATTTGGAGGTTTACATTAGTGTCTTTTTCTCTTTTGGTGATTACTATGATTTGGCAGGAGACAGTATCATCACATTGTATGTTAAGAGAAAAATTTACTTATTTTTAAGCTTTTAATCGTGACATTTACATTGTACTACTTAAACATATATGCATATTTTATTATATCGATATATTTTGCTTTGGCTTTGTTAATACACTATTAGAAAACACTCTAAAATATGGATATAATCATGTGAGCTGATGAGATCTTTTCGTTTTTTTTAAAAAATATTTTTAATTTTTCTTTTCTTTTAAAATATTTCTTTCCCATGTGTTCTTTGTATTTATATCATATTATATATCTATATACACAGTGAAACTTCCTGTTATGGACACTCCTGCAAAACGGACACTGCTCAATACAGACATATTTATAATTTCCCGGGAATCTTCTTTGAATAAACCATTATGTACATTCTCCCCAAAGCGGACATTCCCGTAACCAGACGCTGACAGTTATTTTTGTCCTGAAACGTTATTTTCCATCTCTTCAAACCGGACTCTACTTTTTCTAAATTTAAAAAAGAAATATTATTTCTGCTCTAAATTGCAAGAAACAAAATATGGAACTTTTAACCATTTTTAAAGCATGCAAATTTTTTGCCTTAACTATAACTAAAAATATTGCTAAGTTATTTCACTACTAAAGAATCAATCTTTCTCCTGTCACATTGACTTATCTTTGCAAAGGAAGGAGAGAAAATGATACTGCTTTTGTCAAATAATTCGGACACCGGTATTTTTTGATCTTTTTATCTGGACAACACAGGTTATGAGACCCCTCAAGTTGAAATGACGTCTTAAATGTTCTCAATGCTTCTTCACAACTGAAAATTTCTCTCATTTCCTTATGAATCTGCAGACTGTATTTAACACATCTGTGGTTAAAAAAAAGAACAGAAGTATAATCTTCGAAGTGTTCATATAAATGAAACATTTATTCAGACACTTGATAGATGATCAGTTGTGAATAATGAACTGCTTAGGTCCTCATGACTTAATGGTATAAATTTTTTTTTTCCTTCTGTGAATAGTGGGAGGTTTTTTTTTCAAGAAGTTATGGACCAAGTTTCCTATCAAGTGATAGGTAGGTGTTAGGGAATGTAAACCTGATAATTTAAACTGACTGAGGACGAAAAGCTCCTATTTGGTATCATGTTTAACTTGAATATCTGTACTAATAGGAAAATTATATCCATTTATCTGTAGCTACATCTAAAATTATGTATTTATATCAAACTTTTTTAAATTTTCTTTTTATTGAAAAACAGTTTTTTAAAATTGAAATAAATATCCTTGTAGATAGTTATTGTTGATTATTATTCTACATTTATCAAAATATTCTAAAAACAATTTATGTTAAACTTCGTTTTTAAGGTACCCTCCCTGTAAACTAACAACTCTCATAAATGGACAATTTTTTCGGTCCTTAGAATGTTTGCTTGATCGAGGTTTCACTGTATATATTTATATTTGTATATATTTATACAGAGTTGTCCCGAATTCATGGTACAAACTTGAAGGGTAGGTACAGGACATAAAAACATGTATGTATTGTATAGTAATGTATGGATGCAAGTGATGTAGTGAGGTGCAAACATAAAAAATAAGAAGACAATGTTTATTGAAAGTGTCGTTGACAAGTGTAATGTTTACAATAGCTGTTCACAATTGCGTCAACCGGTAGCGATACATGTTTGACAGGGTCTGTAGAGCGATTGGCGCACACATGCAGCAATGAGATCCTCTCCTGAGTCTAGTGGAGTCACATAAACAAGATTCTTAAGAGGTCTCCATAAAAGGAAATCGAAGCTTGAAAAATCGGGACATCAGGGTGGCCAATGAACTTGTCCACCACACCTCAAACTTGGCATTCAGGCAAGTGCGCATTTCAGTGGGCTGGTGCCTCATCATGCTGAAACCACATGTGGTTATGAATGACAATCGGGAACATCCTGCAGTAGTTCTGGTAACACCTGTTCCAGAAGAAAAAAAATAACATTCAGCATTAAGTCTCGTCAGTAGTAAGTATGGGCCAATCAAAAAGTTGTTGATAATACCTGCTCACACAAAAGAATCGTTGATACTCATGTAGACATGCTGCATGTGGATTCTCAGTTGTCCACACATGGGAATTGCTTGCACTAAAGACACCTTCACATGTAGACGTCGCTTCATCTGTAAATAGCACATGAGCTATGAAATCAGGCTGCAGTACATATTGCTGTATCACCCACTGGCAGAAATTCATGCATACAGCTCTTCGTCGACCAGCTTCTTGTCTGGTGATGTGGAACAAACCTGTTTCACAAAGTTGAAGATTTAGCCGCTGAAAAATTCTGCCACCCGGCATTCGTCGCTCAAGAAACTGTACTTGATACATTATTAGCGCAGTTCTGGTGTTACCATTTGCACGGCCTTGCATGTAATGCTACTTGTACGGCATATTTAGTCTTTCGTCGTAGGCATCAGCACAATTGCGAATGGCACGCTCCCCTACTGGGATGCATCACGTTGAGCGGCGGCTAGACATATACTCTTCTCCTGTTTGCCCCTCACCGTGTCACGCCCATACATTCCTACAAAATATTGATTTTTGCAATGTCCTGTCCTGTATCTACCCTTAAAGTTTGTACCATGAATTCAGGACCACCCTGTATATGTATATATATATATATATATATATATATATGACTGTGTCTGCTGTGATTTTTGGAGTAAACGTTATCTCTTAAGAAAATAAATCCGGTGTAATTTTGGTAAGACATTCAATCTAGCTTGATGGAATTTCCTTTAAATGTCAACTTTCATTTAGATATTTAGTAAGCAGATTGAGCCAAATAAAATCAATCAAACAAATGAGAAAATAATCAGGATAAGTCAACAAATATTTTAATTATGTGAGTTACAAGCAGTACAAATAAATAAAAATCATAATAAAAAAAGAAATTTACTATTGTTTGGTTTTACTGTGCTAATCTTATCTCGTAAAGTTGACAAGTGTAGCGCTTCTTTCTCTTTGAGATGTTTCAGTTTCGATTGCTTCGTATTCGTGAGAATCCATTCAATGGGAGTTTCTAGTTCCCATGAATAATTACGTTACATTCCCCGCAAGACATCGAACCATCAAAAACAAGACCCGTATTTTATTTTTTTTCTAAACTGATGATAATAAAGACTACGTTTTGCTATTACCATCTAAGTTATGTGATATTTAGCTATTAAAAATTAGCTCTGGAATTTCTATACGTTGGATCTGAATGCTTTGAACATAATCCCAAGTTTTGAGCGTTATAAATTGTCTGATGGCTAGTTTTTTTTTACCCTAATAAACTCAAATTAGTTGAATTTCANAATTTTTAAAAAATGAATCTTCAACGATCATAATTCTTTTGTTTTTATTTTTAAGAAATTAAACCTTACTTTGTTTTTTCGTTCAGAATTCGGTAATTATTCAATTTAACTTTATTATTTATGTGAAATAATAATGATAAAAACTAATGTTGTTTTAAAAGTGTTTTTTTTTGTTTAATTTATTTAATACTTTGTTTTAAGCATACAAATAATTTTTAAAGAACTTATTTTTTAAATTTTCTGTCTATAATGTTAAGTAAATATATTGATAGATTTCAATTTTATTTATTTTTTTATTTATTTTTAAGCTAAGAAATCTCGTTATTTGCGCTATCATTTTTAGAAAATATAACATTAATATCTTTCTTAAGCAAAACATATACATCAAATTCATAAATGGGTTTAAATCAATCTGAGTATGAAGTTTTAATAGAAATCCGACTTTCTGCGCCTTACAAGTAAATGAATTTCACAAATACTATATCGCGATGCAAGACTGACGATGCATCACAATATAAAATTTCTTATATCGCCCAGTCCTAGTGTGTGTATATATGTATGTATATGTATGTATATATGTGTGTACATATATATACAGTACCGGTCATAAGTTTAGACTCGTATGTATTACAAAACTTTCAAAAATAGCTAAATATTTCTGACCTATATGTGTATTTTATCAAACTTTGTAAAACTCTATTTCTATTTAAAACTGTTAAGAATTTTTTCATTTTGTATCTATTTTGTTGATTACGAAAGGAATGAAAGTGCATGTAAATGCCTATTCTAAAAAGAGTGTACTTTATTTAAAAAAATGCCATTAATTTTTAGTTTATAAACAATTTACTTTTAATCTCTTTTTGTAAGGTTTATTATAAATTAAGTTCATGTACATAACACATTTAAAATTTTGATATAATAGCCTTCATTTGAGAGAATAACTGGTACATGTTAACCTTTGTTTTTAACAAAGGTTAACATTATATACTATTTATTACAGAAATATGAGTCAAAAACCAGAAATAAGTGTCAAAACATGTGCAGTTATTATTGCACTTCATGGAGAAGGCTATTCATGTAGACAGTTTGCCTCTAAAACTAATGTTTTCCAGACCACTGTTGTCAGAATTTTGCAAAGGAAGAAAGAAACTGGCCAAAATAAGAACCGCCAATGATCAGGGAGACCTATAATGAAGTCCAAATGTGAGGATAAGTTTATTTGCATTTAAAGTAAGCGCCAGCGGACTCAAACAGCATCAGAAATCCGTAAGGAATTGAATGCTACTAAGCTGAAAACAGTGTCAGTAATTACTGTACAATGTGACTGGTTTAAAAAGTTATGTAGCTGCTAGAAAACCTCTTTTGAAAATACAAAGCATTGTTAAACTATGGAAATGAGCTAAAAACATGTTAACTGGTCTTTAGAACAGTAGTCAAATGTTTTGTTTACTGATGAGTCAAAATTTTAGTTTGGAAGCAAACAAAGGAAGTATGTTCATCGTTTAGTTGGTGAACGTTTGACAAATCAATGTTTACTACCAACTGTAAAGCATGGTACTGGTTCAGTCATGGTTTATGGATGTTTTGCTAGTGACAAAGTTTGAAATCTTGTTTGAATAGAGGGAATTATGGATTAAAAGTATCATCACAGAATATTGCAGTGTCACGCTTTTCCGTATATAACAGAGAATCGTTGGTCTTTGGTTTGTTTTTTAACAAGATAACGATCCGAAACATTCATCGAAATTGTGTAGAAACTACATTGCATCAAATGAAAATAAAAAACTACTGAAATACATGGATTGGCACCCTCAATTCCAAGATATTAATCCTATTGAGCTATTGTGGAATTAACTAGCTAGAAGTATTAGAAAAATGCGATGTACCAAACAAAACAAACTTTGGGAATTTTTACTTAGTTGTTGGAACAAGATCTCAGCTAGAACATTGCAAAAACTAATAGAAAGAGTGCCAAAAATATGTGCTGCTGTGATTAATGCTAATGGAGGATATTTCAAAGTCTAAAACATTGGACAAAATTCATAAGTTGAACATAAAATTATAGTTCTTACTACGTAAGTGTACCTATAATTATGAAATTAAAGTTAATTTGCTGAGATTTTCAGTTTAAAAACCTTGTAATTTGTTTATTTTTAAAAATTCAAGAGCGAGTCTAAACTTATGACCCGTGGTGTGTGTGTATATGTGTGTGTGTATATATGTATATATATATATACATCAAATTCATANATTATGTATTACAGCGGTTTCGATTTTTTTCGGCTACGGAACTCTAAATAATCAAATTTTTTCGGCGGAATCCTTACTTTATAAATAAAGTTTATATAAGTAAATGTGAACGTAATAACCTCTAAAAACTATTTTCCAAATATTTTAATTAGAGAAGATTTTTCATCATTTTATCATTATTCTTAAATTAGATTTTATGATCCAACTGTTAAATTTGCAGTCCTTGTGCTACATCTAGTCCAGTTAATATTTTTTTTGTGTGTGTGTATATATATTTATATATATTGTTTTGGAAATATTACTCATAGGTTCGATTGATGCCCATTGGTTTGGATAATATTCAAGTAATGTCTGATGATGCTAAACAACAAGTTCGAAGCATTGTTACTACTAATCATAGCATTGTATCTGGGAAGCCTGATAGTACTTTGGATGAAGAGAAGGACCCAAAAGTAAAAAAGTTTAAAGTGTGGGATTTAGAATTTGAAGCACAAATGCGTATGCTTGATAATGCCGTAAGTAGCCAAATAAAAATATCATTTTAAAGATTTGACCATAAAATGCAATTACTATGTCTATTCACTCTTCACAAGTTGATTTTTTTGCTTGTTTTTTTTTTAAGTAGTTTTTAGTTAGTTTTTTGTTCTGTAGTTTTTATTGAAGCTGAATGTTTTCCTCTTAGAACATTTAATGATTTCAGTGTTGTATTTTTTAAAGTTTTCTTCTTGTTTTAAATGTTTGACATAGTTAAAAAATTTAATTTTTTCCAATTTTTTTCCCCATTGAGCTTACAAGACATCTTAGCTTGTTAATTATATTGCTGTGGGGCAGAACTATTGCTTTGTTTGTAAAAATCATTGATTTTCTGATTCAGTTAGAAGTAAGAACTGATGGGACAGATGTAAATTGGGTAGTGGTTTCTTGGAATCATGATAGAACACTTGACAAAAAGTTGTCTTATGTGCTCATTGCAATTACCACCCACGTTTTTTACTCTTTACAATTATATAGGGCTGTAGTTCAACTAATTGTGTAATTCATAGTAAGACAGATGAGGAATCTCACTATGTTACTCTTCATTGCTAGTCCATATAAAATTTAAAGGAGCTTTTTCAAAAGTTCCTTTCCACACACAATCAAATACTTTTTTTACTGGCAACTTTAATACAGTAATTTTCTAGAATCTCAAATCCAATTCTAGTCAAATCTAAGTTATGCTTGTTACAGCAAAGTTATGCACAGGTTTTCTCCTGACTTTATGAAGTCAAAACATTTTTTAAAATTTCATTGATATCTTGTTAAATTACGACTCGCAATAAAATAGTTTTAAGGATTATTTTTATGAATATTTTGTAAAATAACATTCTTGTAAATATTAATTTGATTAACTGTTACTCCTCAAGGAAGTTATGGTTTCCAAATAAAGATGTCTGAAAATAAAAGAAGTAGCAGTATAATATTATTTAGAATGAGTTTGCGGGGTTAGCTAAGAAAATCATGATATTAAAAATCAATATTATCAAGTAACTTGTGTATTTTAGTTTTGAAAAATTATTGACCATCTATTTTAAACATGTAGATTTTTTTAGTCCTTAAAACAAGATTTTATGGTTTTTTTTTTTTTTTTTTTTTTTTTTTTTTTTTTTTTTTTTTTTTTTTTTTTNTTTTTTTTTTTTTTTTTTTTTTGGAAAAAATTTGGAGGAATTCAAAATTTTAAATTTTTAGTTTAAAAAAAACTCACTACAACAAATGCTTTTTTTAAAAAATTTTATTTTATGAATAGTGTTATTTTTTAAAAAAGTGTCTTTTTTGTAGTGGCATCTAAGTTTATTTTGTTTTGTAATACAGCAATTTCTTTTCTAAGAATGTAAATTATATAATGTAATTAAAAGCCAGAATGTAATTTTCTTTTGTTTAAATTATATGAAGTTTATAGAAATAATTGTCATGAATAATTATTAGTTCAAAGGTAATTTTTAATTATCAATATCAAAATTTTTGTTTTTATTAAAAATGAAAATATGATATTGTATACTTTGTATTGTATGAATAAATCAGAATAATGTTAATCATACAAAAATACTGTCATGAAGATGGAAGTAATTATATCACAATATATTATCCATTATTTGTGATTTATTCGCTAGTTGATGTTAATTACTTGAAGTTTTTTTAAAGCGTTTTTAATGTTAAAGCGGTGTTTTTTAGACAGCAAATATCATTGAGGGTTTCCCTTACAATTGTAGTGGATATTTAACCTACTAACTTTTCTAACCTATTCAAATTGACAAGAAAAGTTTTCTTGTTTTATTTATTATTTTATTTTATTTTTTTCTTCAGGGATTTAGAACCGGCTATTTGTATAGATACCCACTTATCAGAGTTGATTTACCAAGGCAGAAAAATGATGTTGAAGTTCCTCCAGCTGCCACATCATTTGTTCAATATTTAGATGATGACAAATGGCTAAGGTATTTTTTATTATCTCTTTGCTTAATTTGTTTTATATTTTCTTAACTTTATTACTATTTTTTTTTTACTTTAACAAGAACTTTTACAACATGATTAATTACAAGTAATTACAAGTAATATATAATATTTTGTGCATTTCAAAAGGCAGTTATTTTATGTTATATTGTATTTGGTTTTAGAAAACCCTACTTCTACTTTAAGAAAAAACAATAAGAGTTAGCCAAAATAATATATTTAAATTAATATTTTTTAAAAATAAGCCAGCTTATTTCCAATGTAACTAAACATGTTAATTTTTTAAAAAAAATTTACATATTTGAAGGAATTAAATTTTAATCTTTTTTTTTTAATAGAAGTTTTTATTTTACTATTCTTTATTTTTGTCAAATCCACAAAAGTTACATATATAAAAAAAATCCCTGTGTGATGAAGAAATTTATAATTCATTTTTTATACAATGGCAAAAGCTTAAAAAAATTTGACAGTCTTGTAAATGTCATTACTAACTCATAATTTTTTATAATGCTAAATTTTGAAAATTTATTTGTCTTATAATTATAATTATAATCACAATTTGTCTTATATTGTGATTTGTCAAATTAGACGTACTTGCTGTTGCAGAATCCTTTAAGTTTTTACTGTTTAGGCACCATAATGTACTATATTGCTTATAACATATTAGCTGTTATAGCTCTAGAACTTAAACTTTTAGCAGCCTTGCATGAAAATACTTTTATTTTATATCTTCATTTAAGCAGAACAACATTTTACATAATTCTAGATAAGATTTCTTGCTGAATTTAGCTTCAGTTGAAGTTTTTGATAAGTATTCAGAATATAAGATTAAATAATATTAGACACCCAGGTATTTGTGAATGTTCATGCAGAATGCATCTATTAACAGATTTGCACATTGTACTGATATATTTTGTTGTTACTATTTTATTGTTATTAAAAGCATATTTTCTATTTTACTTTTAGTCCTTTGAAAAAACTTATGGATGGTAAAAAAACTCAAGATAAAATGAGATGGGTCAATTCTCCAAATGTTTATCAAAAAGTTGAAGTCCTGGAAACTGGAACTGCTGATCCTAAGAAAATTACAAAAGTATGTCTTTCTTCCCATGTGAAAAATATTGTGTTCAGTATTTTTCAATTTTAAAGGAAATCTTTTATAAATTTTATAGTTTATTTGTGCTTTTGAGTTAATTGTGCTTTTAAGCAATTATTACCTGTCTTTATAAATATATATATATATTGGTTCAAATTATTGGTTTGAACAGTATATAGAAATTTTATATGTACCTGATTTTGAGTATTTGTGAGTTTTCTTACAGTAAATAATGTTTGGCAAAGTAGAGGAAGACTTTAAATCAAACTAATTAGTTCACTTAGACCTGAATTTGTTCCGAAAGAATGATTTGAATCATAGAATCACTGGTTCAAGCAAAGAATCAGTACCATCTCAATCCAAAATTATTTGATTTGTACAGTTTATTGTGTAAATTAATAGATATTATTGAATTTGACTAATTCATTTACTGCTTTAAATAAACTTCTTGTTTAATTTCTGCAAATGCCATTTTTATCATATTTAGCAAAACTTTTGAAACTATAATTTACTTCAATTTTTAGAGTAGTATTTTGGAAATCTGCATTATTTTTTTAATAATTTTGTTAATTTATAAGCTTCTGAAATTCAATAATTTTTGAGTTCCTGTACTCTTAGGATGAGGAAACTTTATTTGTTTTGAATTTATGCAAAGACAAATTTTTTGTTAAAAAAAAACAGTGAATGCTTCTGTATTTATACAAAAAAATTTATTTTGAAATATAAATACGTATAATCAAAAATTTTTTTTAAGTATGAAATTATTAAAGCATCTGTAAAATAGGAAATTACTGGTTAAAAGCTTTTGCTCAAGGTTCTAGCCCCTTTTAAATTGTATTGTTTACTGTTTACCTATTTTCATCAAAAAATATAACTAAACCAGTTGTTAAGTGATGGGCTATGCTGTTCAATTGGAGCAAGGTGTGTAGTGATCTTAGCATTTTATAGTGAAAAAAGGCACCTTCTAATTTTTACTATTAATTTTTTAAATTTTTGTTAGCAGTTTTGAAAAGTTTCTTGAATAGGTCTTACCATGCAAGATGCAAAATTAAAAGATTAGAAAGGAATTCTGTTTTTTATATTTAATCTTTTTTTAATATTTAAAGTACTTTTTCTGCGTATATAATATGAGTATTGAAAATTCCAATACTGTCAACAGTTTCCTAGATCTTAACAGGCTCGTGTATTTTCTTGACAAGCATTGGAGTTACATTGCATCACAAAATAATACTTTAAAAATTTGTTTTTAAGTGTGATAAGGTTTCGAAAAGAATTTAAATGTTTTTCCTTGATGATCTTGCATACTATGTGTTACTGTTCATCCAATGAAGTTGGATCAGCCATTGTGGCTGTGTATATTAATTTAATATGACTGATAAGGATTACATTGGGTGTAAGGCAGTAAAAAAAAATTATGTTAAAATGCATTGTTTTAGAATTAAGTAACTAAATAAGTTTAAATAATTAAGTTTAATGGTTCAAAAATTTCATAATGTTTAAATTTTATTATATTTTTATAATATTAGTTTGTGTTCTATATTAGTATTTTTGATCATGGAATGTTACAAACTTTTTACTTTTTTCCATGCTCTGTACTAAATTTTAAAGTTTCTGATATTGGTTTGCAATGAAATTGCTTTGTATTTTCAGAGACCTTGCTTAAATGAAAATAAGATTTCTTATTCTTTGAAGTCTTTGTATATTTAAACTTTGATCTTTTAATTATTTTGTGAAATAATCAATACAATTTGCTTCAGAACATTTTATCAACATTCTAAATTTTCTTTTATTCCTACAGTGGGTAGAAAGACCAGATAATGGGGACATTGAACCTGTAAGAGTTTTATCACAATAATTAACCTTAACAATACTGCTTTGCAATGAATGCTACTGCTTCAAAAATAACCTATAGTAATTTTCATCTCATTAATAACAATTTTTCAAGCATGTTACTGATATCTTTCTGATGCTGGAGTTAATGGCTTGCTTTTTATTTTCCCTTGAATATTTTCATTGTGTACCTAGTACACAGTATATAGCATTTATTATAAATTTATTTCAATGAAGCTCAATGAATGTTGCTAGGTGTAAACTTAAGCCATAAGTTTACTTTCAGCCATGAAACAGTTTAGGATGTGTGTTCAACCTTCTGTTTCAAAGATACCCAATTCTTCCTCTAAGAACTAATATTTTAAAGAAACACAAAATTGCATACCATTGTTTCCTAGACTTATAAATTCATTAAAAATGTTTGCAAAGTCTGTTTGCTTAATGGTCATTGAATGCTTAGTTTGTAAAACAAGGTAAACTATTATATATTTTTTACATAGTACTCCTGGGTTCAAAAAACTTTGTTTTTGATTGTTCATAAGTTTCTGTTATGAAACAAATTTTTAAAATGTGGAAAATTTAGGGGAAGGTGTTAATTTTTTGTGTATGTACTTATTAAGTATTTAAAATATTTTTATGGTATGTTTTATTTAATTATGAGTTGTAATAGTAGTATTAATTAGTTTAAACATATCTAGTATTCTTTTATTATTTAAATTTGAACAGTTCATTTTAAATAAGACCTAAGCTTTGAGCAAATAAACTGTTTTTAATCTATAAATATTAATTTAAAAGTTTACAATTAAACTATCTTTTAATTAGTTAAAAATTTGCTTTTCAGACAAGTTTCTGCAATAGAAGATTAATATCAATAATTATTTAATGCTACTAAGAAAATCTAATTTTATTAAATCTAATTTTATTTCTTTTTTTATAATTTAGTTGTCAAATTAATGTCAAATGTCAGCTGAAAGGCAAAGGTATTACTTGAATTTTGGAAGCTCACATTTTACAACTGCTATAATTATAATAAAATTCCATAGGTAATCAAAAGATTAATGAACCAGAAAAAAAGTCCTGAATTTTTCTCTGCACAAAAATTAATGAAATATAAGTTAAATGCTTTATAAAATTAATCTACATGAATAAATACCCTGATAAGTGATGTGTTTGTATTAAACTCTTAATATCACAAAGCTTATGAGATGTTCACAACAGCATCTCAACTAGGTTTTCACACTACCCCCTTGTTGAGTTTTTTTTTTTGTTTAAGCTTTTTAATTATTCACTTAATAAAATATGCAATAAACTTAATTATTTATAGCATAATATCTCTATTCTTAAAAGCAACGAGTAAAAATAGTTTAAAGTAGCAATTAATAAGTAAAATTAGACTTGACTTACCATCATAAAAATCTTGATTTTTAATTTTTACTTAATAACTAAGTGTCGTCATGCAACTGCATATAGAAGTATTACTCAGTTTTGCCAATCTGTCAAACTTAGAGAATTTTTTTATGATACATAATAGTAATATTACAGTTGTTCACATTAGCTCTTTATCCACACCCTCTCTGCTTTATGAAATTGTTTGCAAATTATGGGTAAATGATATGGATAAATATAACTGTCCTTTATTATATAATTTTAGGTTTATTTCTTTAATAATAGTTGTTTTATGATTGATACTAATAATATATTGCATGCCTTTGCTTCGCTTCCAACTAACCTATAATTTTTTAAGCCTGAAGAGAAGTTAGTTTTTTTTGTTATCAATTTTAAATTTTGTTTTCAGTGGGTTCAAGAAGGTTCTCCATCTCATAGCACATTAGTTAAAATCGACAGTGCACATCAGTTTGTACCAAAAACTGGTGATCCTAATGAATTCAAAAAGAAACAGAAAGAGGTAAGAAAAGGAAAATATTTAGTTCTAGTTTAATGTTTGCAAAATAAAAAATTATAGTTTATTAATTTAGTACCATCAAATATTGGCATATTACTTACTACTACATTTTTTAGGTGTCATAAGTAGCTTCTAAAAAAAAATAATTGTTAAAATAATTTATTACCACAAAGTAAAGTAACAGAAGTATATTTTAGAAATTAAAGGCTATATTTTTATACAAATGCTTTTTTTTAAATCTTTTTATTTTTTAGCCCATGCTTCAATGGAAATAAAATTAATAGTCATTATAGTTAAATTGTGCACCAGGTTCTAAATGTAATTATGAACAAACTTTTACTTTTAACCTGAGATAACTGCAGGGGTAATGAAATGGCTAACAAAATGTCAGTTTTGTCATATTTAAAAAAAAAAGCTTGGACCCATAAAATATTTGAAATTATAAAGTCAATATAAAGTAACAAACTTAAAAGTTTTCAAATTCTTAACATTGAAATAATGATTTTGATTTAGAAAATACAGTTTTTGTCCAAAATATGTTCTTTTCCCCCCCCCACCAAGATGATTACGTTTTCAGCTTTCAATTATAAAATATTTAATTAACTTTCATGTTAAAGTGTCAGTATTTTATAATAAATACAATTCCTTCCCCCCAAAAAAAATATTAATCAAATAATAAAAAAATATTCTGTTTTTTGATTGCAACTGCCATTTTGTTATCTGCAGAGCCCTTGCTGTCTATTAAATTTTCTAATTTTACTTTATTTTTTTTAAATATTTTTTCAATTGAAGTTGTAATATTTTTCAATAAATAAGAAATTTTTAAATTTGTTCTGCAAATTTGCTTTTAAACAATTGGACTGAACTTCATTGTTTAATCGTTATCTTCTGTGCTTAAATCTTTTACTTTTTTTTCATTTCTTGAATTTTGTGAAACCTACACATATGCTAATGTATGGATACTATTTACTTTGATTTTGAGGTTTTTTCTTTGTTATATACATCAAAACATTTTTTTTATATTTGTTGCTGCATATCTTGATAAATCAAAGCATCATATAGTTTTTAGTGCTTTTTTATGATAATTTACTTTCAAAAATTTATTTTTTCAAACCATTCTCATAGCAGGGGTAAAAAGTTAAGCTATTTATACTGAGCAATTACATAAGTGTAACATATTTGTTAATTTTATAAATGTATGAGGTAAATAACCAATTTGAAAATATTTATTTTAAGATAAAAGAGAACAGAATGCATTCAAAAATAACTGCTGGACCTCAGTCTTCTCTATTAGAAGGTGTTACCTGGGAGGAAATAAAAAAGATGCAGGTAAGATAAGTCTTTTTTACTTTTTAAAAACTGGGTAAATTATTAAATAATTTCTTGATTTATTCGCTACAACTTATTTCCAGGTCCTACTTTCAACATTTTACATGAAATCACTTAATGGAATATTTTGCATATTATATTGAAAACTTTGTGGCACATTTACAAAATATTTAAATACTAAAATTTGTCTTAAGTTACGCCTACATGCATATCTGCTAAATTTAAGCTTTTAACAATGTTTCATGTTAGACTTGCTTTTCAGATTAGTTATAGTTGATATGTTATAATTTTAAATCTGGTATGCCTAAGTTGCAATTTTTTAAGGATACTTTGTCTCTTGTCAAACTATGGTTCTGCTTACACAGTGTAATAACTACTTTATTAATGTTGAAATTTATAGTTAGCTAAAAAAAGAAGCTTAATTATCTGCCTTCCCTAATTAAAAATAAAGAATTACCTTCAAATATGTTAAAAAAATCAGACCTTAGTAGCTTAGGTTGATATTACAGACAAAATTTAATCGAACTTTTTAGAATTTTTTCCCCTCATATTGCAGCTATTTTAAGTGGAGGGAAAAAATTTGTTTATTGAGTTACAATTTTCTGTAGTTACAATTCTCTCTCACGTACGTGATGCAGTAGTTAAATTAGTCATGATTAAATGTCTGGATTGATCAAATATATCTTTCTCGTTATGAAAGTCTTGTTTTGTCTATAAATAAATGAAATAGTTATGTATGTTGCTTTTAAAATGTTAAATGTTAAAAATTTATTGTCTCCTTTTTATTTCAGAATACCTTTTCTCTCCCTTTACTAAATATGTTTCATTGTAGAGCATTTAAGAGTAAATTTATTTTATTTCTTGAAGAAAGAATATTTTAAACTTTATTTAGTTATTAATTTCATTTAGTTAATAGTAATTTGATGTTTAGTTTACATCAAGCCATTTTTTAAACCCTTAACATTTTATATATTTTTCAATTTTGGTTATGGCAGGCCATTCCACATCTGGAATAGAACTGTTTATCTTTAATAGTTTTGTACAGAAAGCTTTAATCAATAGATAAGGCGAATTCAGCCTTTTCTATTATAAAAGTAACTTTTTGTCTGAAGATTAGGATATCACATAAAACTAATATTATTTATAGGAATATAGCTATGAGTAAATTAATCATTTTTCATTAACCTTATGTATTAAACTTACTTTAAAACTATCTCTAATGAAAATTTTTTTTTTTTCTTGAGCTATCCTTGCCATAGCATTCATAAATTAGAACATATGGGGTAAAATGCAGAATTCTAGTCTTTGAAGTTGAGGAGGTTGAAATGGTGGGGGATTTGTTTCTCCATGTGTGTCGCGGAGACTTCAATATTTTTTTCTTAACCTTGGAAGTTCTTTAGGGAAGCAGCAAATTCTTTAATTTCTCCACTATGTCTGAAGGAATCAGTGGTTCTTTGAGATGCTGCTGTCAATCAAATATAAAGGAGTGACATGCTGATTCTTTTCCCTCTTTGATTTATGTGGGGGAGGGGAATGCATTGCAGTGAGCAGAAGGTAAAGAAATTAAAACGAAGTAATACTACATAACTAATGAAGTAGAAAAACAAAGAAGAAAGGGAAATACAAATTTTTAATTACTATACAAAAACTGCTAAATTACAGCTATTTTTTTGTTCAATAATAAAGTAGGAATATTGTTAAGTTGTATTTTATCATTAAAAAAATAATTAAGAGTAAAAGTATTTAGTAAATGATAATAACTTAAAACATAATTGAGTGTGTTAGTGGAGACAAGAATACGAAAAGCATCTAGCATTGTATAAAATTTGTAATTTACCAAAATAAAGTGAATATATTTTTGTTTTTGGTATAAATTAAATGATTCCAAGGAGAGTTATAAAAACATCTGTGTGAATCCAAATTTAAGTAAATATTTTGTCAATGCATTATTTAAAAATGCTGGTTAAAAAAGAAAAGTTGGTAATATTTATTTAAAAACACTTAAGTTATGCCACTCATTATAAGGACTTGATGTTTAAAAAGAAAGAAAACCGTAATAAGTTTGTTATAAGTATAAATCTTTGTCTAACAACTCTTTTAACGCTTATCCTGTAAAATTCAGCATCTTAAAGGAGAAGTCAGAAATAAAACAGCATGTTAACTTAAAGTAAAAATGATAGAAATCATTTGCAGTTACGAAATCTTTAAGCTTGTTTTTATCTTTTATCATCTTAAATAATATTTTTTATCATCAATTTTGTAAAGAATTGTTTAAAATTTTCTTTATTGCAATATTGGTCGTTACTTAATTTCAATCCTTTTTTTAAATTTCATTGTCCAGATTTAAAGTGACACCAAAAAATGAAAAGATGATTCTGCTATTTTTATCCATGTAATTTTACATTTATCTGACCTTCCTCAATCCGTTCCAACTCCCTTCAGTGAATCTCCTTGAGTATCTGGTTTACTGTTTGAAAGAATAGTTTCAAGTTTCACTTCTTTACCTTCACTTTACCAATATGCCCATATAACTCACAGTTTCATTCATTTTGCTTGGGTTCTATTCCTTTTTCTCTTATCTGCTATCTCGAAAAATTGTGCACCATCTGGATCATCAACAAGTGCTAGAATAAGTTTGTTACATGAAAACGTAGAATCATTTTTTTTCTTCTGAGTGTTAAGAATTTATTTCAGTTTCAGTTCACTAGCACATGTTGTATATTTTTGATCTTTATAAAATGTCTCTGTCAAGCTCTAATTTAGTGCTTCAAAAAAGAAAACATGAGTTTATCAGTGAAAATGAAAGTTTCTTCCTCTAAAGCTCTTAGAGAAATATATAACATAGAGACTTAGAAGAAATCCAAAGAAAAAAAAATACTGACCATATTTAAATTGCTGTAATTTTACTTTAATTTCATAGGAAGAACAGTTGAATGCTTCTGGGGATCAAGTTGTCCTTGTTGGTGCTGCTTCCAAGGGTATTATACAAAGAGAATTTCAGCATAATGCAATGGTTTACAAAACAGCTTATGCAAAGAATCCTTTTGACAATATATCTGATCAGGATTTAGAAGAGTATAAAAAAATTGTTGATAAGAAGATGAGAGGTGAACCAGGTGAGTTAAGTTTTTTTAAATCTGGAAATTTTTTTCTTTTGATAAAAATGTTTAATATTGAAATTCTGTGAATAACTCATAACTTTAAGAGTTACTTTGCTTTATGATTCTTCCCTTTAATTAATATGTGTATAATAGTGGTTCCTAACTTGCATAAATCTTTAAAGGATTTTTCAACATTAAAGTCTTACAAGACTTTAATGTTGAAAATCTAAGACCTATTGTTTTAAAAATTTGAAGTAGCAACAAATAAAATTTTTTTGTAAAGGATACTTTTAGTGTTACACTTAATTACATAATCTTTAAATATATATTTTAACATATAGTTAAATGCTTGTTCAATTTTCAAGATAAATTGTAAATATTTCAAAAGTAAAAATCTAATTTTTTCGTGTAGGTATTTAATTCCCCCCCCACACACAAAATAGTGACTTATTGAACATTATTGACAGTGTGAAAATGTATTTTTGTTATATTTTAATGAAAGCAATGAAAAAAGCTTTAGGAAGTTTAAGCAAAAAAATCTAAGACCAGTGTGTTACAGTGGCATTCATGTTTTTGTATGTTGTAGTAACTAGTTTAAAAATGCACATCCCTATTTAACAGGGTTCCCACAGTCCTTAAAAGCCCTTAAAAACTGCTTAATTTTTGTTTTGGAAAATAAGGGCCCTTAAAAGTACTTAATTTTGGTGCAAGGAAGTCCTTAATTTTGCAGCATCACTATACTTGAAAGGAACAATTTTTTCAGTCTTGCAAAAATATTTAAAAAAAGGTAAATCTTACTACACCTTGAATGAGACCATGCATCGAAGGTAGAGCATTTTAGAAAGACAAAAAGGAATGTGTGTGAGGAGGCTACAGGCAAGGAGAAGAAATCCTTTCATTGATATATTAGTTCTTTCATTAATATATTCTATATTCTTTCTTTTGCCTAAAATGCAATGCGGGGTCAGAAGTGCTTTCCTGAAGCGGTGATGTACACAGAAACACCATAAAGAAAATAGACCGTAAGTGAAAAATCGTTTTAATAATACATTGAAAAAATTATAAGGTACATGGGTCAAAGTAAATGTTCGAAGTTTCTGCCACTGTCTACAATGTACACCTCACATCTCAGCGCATGGACATTCGAACATTCTGCAACACTCCAGGTATATCTCTAATTTCTCCGGCAGCTACTGAGATTCTAGCAACCAGCTCCTCAGCATTGTCAACAGGGGTGTCATAAAAAAGTGTTTTCATATGACCCCAGAAATCCAGACATGATAGGTCGGGTGACCGAAGAGGCCATATAATTTTTTCAATGTATTATTAAAACGGTTTTTCACTTACGGTCTCTTTTCTTTAAGGTGCTTCTGTGTACATCCCCGCTTGAGGAAGGCATTTCTGACCCCGCATTGCTATATGATTTCTAGTCGTCAGGATGCACCCTACCCCTCTTAGGTGCTCTGAAACGTTTAACTGAGACACACTGTATATATATATGTATTATATATATATATATATAAATATATATTTATATATATATATATACATATACAGTCAAATATATATATATAGTGAACCTTCTATATTAGGGGTGCACAACCTTTTTGAGTGAAGGGCCACTAGCACAGCAGGTTGGATAACGAAGTGCCGCACATGTTTTTAGACATGTTAATGACAAGGGAAGAAATGAAAATTGATTTTTCACATAATGAATAAAATTATTGTTAAATTTTTTTAATAAGATGATTGTTTTTTTTCCACTAATAACTTGGTTTTCATTATTTTTTTGACACGCCAG